TATATATATATATATATATATATATATATATATATATATATATATATATATATATATATATATATATATATATATATATATATATATATATATATATATATATATATATATATATATATATATATATATATATATATATATATATATATATATATATATATATATATATATATATATATATATATATATTGGAATTGGGACGTTTAGACAGTTAAATCTGTATTTTCCTACTTCTGTATAGTTTTATTTTTTTTCAAAAAGGGCTGAATTGCTGTCAACATATTGTATTTTATTTATTTAATTTTGTTTGTTTTGAATACTTGAGTATGTTTTCATAAGGGCTGAAAAGCAGTTCAGATACAGACCAGAAAATTTGCAATACAGCAAACTCAAAAGTATTTTCTTGTGTATGGGTTTTTTTATTTTTATTTGAGCAGTTGGAGATTATAGTATGAATAATATGTAAAATTTGACCACACCATTCATAAATATATTGTGTCGTTAAGTTGAGATATCCCGAACCCGAGATTTTAAGTAAATTGTGTTGAAATTTCATATATACTTTAGAAAGCTCAGACCCAGTAGATAATTTTCCCCTTTTCAGTAAATCAATTTCATAGGTGGGTTACAGTAACACTTTCAATAACTGTCCAGTAGTTAATGTTAGTGTATTTACTATCATGAACTAAGTATGAACAATCTTGTACAGTATTTATCAATAATAATCAGAGTTCAACATTCACTAATTCATTAACAAAATCTAAAGTTGTGCTTTTTGATTGTGAGTTTTATTTTTTTTCTTTAAAGTTAGTGTACACTGTAATCAATTGATGGCTCATTATCAGGGATTGCTCTGTTACCTCTTCTGTTCTCTGATTAATGTTTGACTAATATAAGAGGATTTATTTCAGAAGAGCTGTCATTAGAGATTTAAACATGTCCTATGAGCACTGCTTGATGTTGCAGATCACTCCGCTCTTGGGCCGTAGAGTTCCCGTGTCTTTAATGTCGAAAGACTGTCCAGGGACCAGACTGAACTCAAATCTCTGGAGCAGTTTGGCAAGCACAACTTTTGCCTCCATCTAAATGCAGAAAACACGACAGAGATGATCATGATCACAGCAAATAGAAATATCCATCAAACTAATCCTAAAATTTGTACAGATGTCTCTGTGTGTGTACTGGTTTTAGTGGTTTCACAAATTTAATTAATGACATGGGTTTACAATGTTGTTGTTACAATGTTAAAGTCTATTTAAGTGTCCTCATAATTCAAAATTGTTTAAAAAATGTATATACTTAACAGTATTTTGTCACATCAACAGGTTTCCTATGGGGGTCAGGTTTAGGGGTAGGGTAAAGCCATATAATAAGCAGGTTTAAAATACATTACACCAAATGGAGAGTGCTTGTAAACCACCAAAGCCAACTTGTGTGTGTGCATATATGTATGTGTGTGTGTGTGTGTGCATATGTGTGTGTGTGCGTGCGTGCATATGTGTGTGTGTGTGCAGGGGCGGACTGGCCATCTGGCAATTCTGGCAAATGCCAGAGGGGCCGGACCAATTTTTAAATGTGGGCCGGTCAATTTTTTTTATTTATTTATTTTTTATTTGTTTTTGTTTTTAAGTGCAGACAGCTTTTATCTCTTGCTAGATGTGATATTATGATGATGATGATAATAATAATAATAATAATAATAATAAATGTTAAGCATTTGGCCCAATCGGCAACTGCCGCCTGGTTTCAAGATGGGCCGACCCAATCCAAGGTTACCCCGAACATAATCAAAATCGGGCAAGAATGTCATATTATTTCACCATCTTTACACCAAAATAAATAGTTATTGTGCGTGTCCGTGGGTGGGGTTGTGTCGGTGTGGTAATGTGGGCTGGTGTGGCAACAGTGCCAGGGCTGAATTTTTGTCTCAGTCCGCCCCTGGTGAGTGTGCGTGCATATGTGTGTGTGTGTGTGTGTGTGTTTCATCACCTGAGAGAAGACCTGCCCAATACAGGTTCGTGGACCAAGTGCAAATGGGTAGTAGGTGTAATAAGGCCTTTAGATAAGAAAACAAATTGAAATCAGTGTTTTCATGCTATAATGTTGTAAAATAAAGGTGTGTTCATGTCATAAAAATCTGGCACACTTGTTAAACTCAAACTTTGAAAAATGTGATTTTTAAGAGGTTCAGCCTTTATCACCTCGCCCCAAATTAGAAAAAGTTGCGACAGTATGAAAAACTCAAAACAAAAAAAGGAAAGTAGTGACTTCTAAATTTACTTTGACTTGAATTTCATTGCATGGTGGGCAACATTACGAGGTCATTGATGTCGCATTTTGGCTTCAAAATATGCCACCAGGGCCAGCGCGTCCATAGAGGCGACCTAGGGCGCTTAGGGCGGCTGTATAAAAAGGCAGATGTCTGCGACACCTCCCTTACCACCTGCGTCCTCAGCTATGTCCGTGACATCTCCCCCGCGTCCTCAGATATATTCGCGCATTGACGATAGAATAGAGAGGGCGGCGTCAGCGTCACCTCCATCAGCACCCGCGTGTCCTCAGATATATCCGCACATAGGGCAGCAGAATTGAGGTCCGCGACACCAGCGCGTCCTCAGTTATATCCGCGCATAGGGCTGCAGAATAGAGAGCGATGTGTCTGCGACACCTCCCTCCCTCAGCACCCGCGCGTCCTCAGTTATATCCACGCATATAGGGCAGCAGAATAGAGACGGCGGTGTCCGCCAGTCCGCGACACCTCCCTTCCTCCCTCAGCACCCGCGCGTCCTCAGTTATATCCGCACATAGAGAGCCGGAAAAGAGGTCTGCGACTCCTCACTTCATTTTCATAACCGGTCACTTTCGTTTGCACATTGGGGTTGAGGGCGGCGTGATCGTCCTCTGCCTAGAGCGGCAGTTCAGCTTGCTCCGGCCCTGCACACACACACATTCTCTCCTGGAAACTGCAGGCAGGCCAGTCAGTCTTGTTGAAATACATTTCAAGAGTTCCCACTCAGATATGCTTAGCGTTTATAGTAGGGTTGGCATGCTGTCCCGGCAGAGAACCCTGAGCTCGGAGATATCTGAGCCCAAGGCTCCCGCCCGGTCAATAAGCGTATCAGGAGATTCGAGAGGTAGGTCTCAAAAGCTCCCCCTTGGAAAAGTGACAAAAAGGAGGAGATGGGGTGGAAGGGGGGATTCTTCCAAACGAATTAGAGCAGTAGGGAGAAAACGATCCATTTATTGCAAACTAGGATCACTCTGATTGAATTGCTACTGATTACAGATGAGCAGCCAGTCGTGCTCAGTCATATCACATGCTCCTCTCGAAATTAGTTTATGAAACTTCACATGGAAAAGAAGGCAGCACATTGTGCTCTAAAACCTCTATGTACATTTCAGCATTAATGCTGCCATCACAGAAGTGCAAAGTTACCTTTGCCAAGGGCACTGACACAACACCATACCATGACAGACCAAGGTTTTTGGACTTGTTACTGGTAACACTCTGGATGATCCTTTTTTTTTTTGTCAGAAGCCCACAGCATCCATTTCTCCCAAATAAATAACTGAAATACTAATTAACTGACCACAACACACGTCCACTGTGTGTAATGTACCATCCCAGATGCCTCTAAGCCAGCCTGATCTCGCAATGAAACGCAAGTATTTTATATTTTGTCAGTTCAGTGGCTAATTCGTACGAATTCAGAGTTCTGTCAAATGAAAATGTACGATTTTAAAAAGTAGCCGTGGCACCCAACCCCACACTTTACCCCAACCATCATTGGGTGATGAACAAAGCGTACTAAATTGTACAAATTAGATTGTACGAATTCATCTGAATTAGCCTCTTAATCAAAAAGTTACGAATTGCCGTGGATTGCGTTGCTTCAAGCCCAGAGAAGTTGACTTCTGGACACTGTTAACATAAGGCTTCCTTTAACTGGCATTTGTGGACGTAACTACATATTGTGGTACGCGACAAAAGTAGTCGTAGTAGCAGTAATTACACAAAATGTCAGCAGAAACATGTGCCCGTGTCGCCAGCAGTGCAGCGCCACCGGAAGTCCTGAGCTCATGTGGTGGTATTGCTCATAGAAGAAAGATGATTCTTGATGCAGTGTCGCCCGTGAGATCAGAGCTCACAGTTTAGCTTAGGCTTGCACTTTTGTTTTTTACACACTGGAATTCTTCCAGATTCCTTGAATCTTTTAGTGATGTTCTTCACTGTTAAATGTGAAATATCCAAATGTCTTCCTGTCTTTTTTGAGGAACGTTGTTTTGTTCCCGCAAATGCATAGAGACTCCCGAATGCCCATAAACGAATGATAGTAGGCAAATTTGGCCAGGATGCCGAGGTGAAACCCCTACTTTTTTACGAGGGACATCCTGGGATTTTTAACGACCACAGAGAGGACCTTGGTTTAACGTCTCATCCGAACGACGGCGCTCACTGAGCAGTATAGAGTCCCTGTCACTATACTGGGGCATTTAGACCCACACAGACCGCAGGTTGGGCGCCCCCTGCTGGCCTCACTAACACCACTTCTGGCAGCAACCTAGTTTTCCCATGTGGTCTCTCATCCAGGTACTGACCAGGCGCAGCCCTGCTTAGCTTCAGTGGGCGACCATGTGAGAGTTGCAGAGATCTGGCCCAAGTCTTGTGTGCCACCTTAAAGACAATGCCACCTCTGCCAAACCAGGGTTATGTTTGGCCCACATTGTTGTATGCCAGTGCCGGATGAATGCCTGATGTGCCAGATTTATGCCCAATCTGGGCCAGAATGCTTTGCTGCCTGGGTTACTTGGAAACACCCATACATTCTTGCATTCACCTATACACTTATACACTACAGCCAGTTTATTTTGACCCAATTCACCCATAGCGCTTGTCTTTGGACTGAGGGGGAAACTGGAGCACCTGGAGGAAACATACACGAACACGGGGAGAACATGCAAACTCCACAAAGAAGTGCCAACTGGTCCAGCCGGGACTCAAACCAGCAACCTTCTTGCTGTGATGAAACAATGCTAACCACTGAGCCACCGTGCCACCATGCTATCTCATTATTCATGTTTAAACCATATTAAATTCATTATTAATTTCTGAACTTAATATATAGAATAGGAAAAAAATGTTATTTGCTAAATAACTACAGAGACAAAAAATGAAAATTGTGAATTAAAACGAAATCGAGACTACAGTAGGTGGTAATGACTTACTTTGGGGCATTCTCATCAAACCTCTTTGGATCAAACTTCAACGGATCTTTGAAAAACTTTTCCAGTCTTTGGGAAACAAAAGAATTGAACTGTATGGAAAAAGAGAAATGTGGCTCAAATGTTTATGCTTTTAAAAAAATGAGTATTATTTTGTGGCCAGTAGGGATGTAACGGTATTGTAAATACCGTCATACCGCAATATTAAATTTTTTCGATATTACCGAAGTCGCATGACTCGGTAAAACTATAGGTCTTCTGAGAAAATTTGCTCAGGCGAATGAAGCGAACGGGAGGTAGCTGAAACTTCATTTCCCATCAGCCCCGGCGTGGCCATAATCCTTTGCGGTCTGTTGTCGCTACAGATCCAGTAATGCGGAAATGGAGTGTGCTGCTAGTAGCGGAGATGAAAAAAAGATGGAAATGATCGAACCTAAAGCAGTGTTGTCGCCGCGCGCGTGCTGAATAGCGGTGCTGTCGCGCGCGTTCTGATCAGCTGTGTTGTGGCGCGCGTATTGTAAAGCGCCGAGGGGGGGTTGAGCGCGCATACTCAAGAGAGGTGTTATCGAGCGCCTACTGAAGGGCTGGACTGGACGGAGGTTGTGTCGCGTCGCGGGGGCACTTTTGATCGTTTTGGAAGGGCATTTTCTATCCAAGACTAAAAAGGGCATGTGCACTGCACAGGTTGAGCCCTATGTGTGCACGTGCCTGCAAGTTGGGGAATACGACTAATAACAGTCATGGGGACTGCAGAAACACAGCACACTGTTCAGATTGATGCAGACATTGACTTGTACCGCAAAGAGATCTCTATCTCACTCATGGTTTGTCCTCTCAAGTGGGGGAAAGACAATGCACAACGTTACCCACTGCTGTCAACATGGGCCAAGTCATATCTCTCTTGTCCCAGAATCCTCAGTCCCAAATGAGAGGGGTTTTTTCTGTTGCAGGGGACATTGTAAATACCCAGAGATACCAGCTTTTACCAGATTATAGTTATATGATCATTTTCCTTTAAACCCATCTCTATCTAAGTGAGTGATTAAATGTTAAATGTGATGAGTTTTTAACAATACTAAATTGAAACTTTATTTTTTTACATGGTTTAATAATTTTTTGTTATTAAAATTGAAGTTCCTGTTTCAAAGCTTACAGATAGATGACTAATTTGTATGTCATTGACACTTTTGGCACTTTTTTGGGAGTATTTTCAAAAGTTTTTTTTTTCCTGTAAATGATTCAATAAATACCGTACCGTGACATTCATACCGAGGTATTACCGTACCGTGAAATTCTGATACCGTTACATCCCTAGTGGCCAGTGTTGTCAGAATTTTGTTGACTTTAACATTTAAAATTGTATTAATTCAGCTTAAAAATATTTAACATAAAATCTTTCTGCATTTAAGTAGACAGGAGCTGATTTTGTTAGTCATGTTGGTGATGCTCACCATAACAGAACAGCCTCCAGGGATTTTAATGCCGTTTATGATCATGTCCTCATGAAGCCAGCGATTGGTTCCTGGCGCAGTGGGGTACAGACGCAGGGTTTCCTTCAACACCTGAATAACACAAAAGACCATTAAAAGAAATGGATTTAAAAGCATTTGTGTTTGTAGCATGTAAAAGTCTCTATGAACCAACCTGAGACAAGTAAGTCAATTTTCCAAGGTCTTCATTTGAAATTTCCCTTTTGGTTCCGAGGACTTCATCCACCTCTGCTTTAGCTCTGGAAATGAAAGGAATATTGAACTGTAGTATTATAATAAAAGTCTGACAGAACAGGGACACATTTCTAACAAGTGTTTTACCGTTTATAGATCTCTGGATTTCTCCCTAATTCCATGATTGCAAATGAGAGCTGATTGGCTGTTGTCTCTTGGCCTGCGGAAGAATAAAGCAATAGTATCTGGCTGCAGACATGCAAGCTGAGACAAGCAATCTCAGACACATGCAATCAATAGAACTAGTGATGTCACTGTAAAGGGTAGGGTTAGGAGTATATGCTATAAAACACTGCATGCAGTCCGTTCATATCCACAACAGTTTATGAATTAAAATCAAAGTAAGCAGTAACTCACCAGCCATGAAGAAAGTCACAAAATTGTCCAACATCTGCTCAAAATCTTCTGTGCTAGTAACATTTTGCTCCTCTGCAACAAAACATAAAAAGTGTTAAGCTACCTGTTAAAATAACATGAATAATGTTGGATCATGGCGTTTGTAGTAATAATCCCCAAAAATATATAATTCAAAGACATTAAATATTGAGGAGACATTTCGAAAGGTGGTTTCAGAAGTCATTTTATTTCCATATCTTTGAACATGAGCCTGTAAGTATGGTATCATTTAAATTTAGCCTATTGTTAGCGCAGAATAAAATCAAGAAGGGTGATCAAGAATCAATACCCTTTGATAAAGATGAGCCTGTGATACACTCGTAGTTATTCAATAATATCAAACCAGCAGATGGTTGATTGATCAATCATATTTGTTATCTAGACAGCAGGATAATAAGCCCTGTTCTCCAGTTTATAGTGTTTTATTGTTGACTTTGTATTTGTATACATGGACTTTAGCCATGAACATGCTGCCTGCACAAGCTGTATTTTTTAATTTGTCATAATCAGGTTACCTGTGCAACAAAAGGGAAGAAGAAAAAGACATTTAAAGAGATCGTTCACCAAAAACTGACCTCACTATTTACTCACACTTGATTCCAAACCTTGATGAGTTCATTCTGTTGAACACTAAAGATATTTTGAAGACTGTTAGAAACGGGTAACCACTGACATCCATTGTAGAAAAAACAAATATTAGGGAAGTCAGTTTAGAAAATAAAATAACATTTTCCAAAATGTCTTTTTTTTTTCAACAGATCAAAGAAAGTCAAACAGGTTTGGAGTGAAGTGGAGGTAAATAATGACAAAATGATTCGTTTTAAATCAGAAAACTCTTCCTTAAACCACTGAATTTCTCCTTCACTTGAGATCAACATACCTGCTGATTTGAGGATTTGTGTGAGAATGTCTTTGGGGACGTCCTCTCCATTTTTCACTGCTGTCTTCCTGTTTTGTATCCATTTCTCTCCCGTTTTACGCAGGAGTTCAGTTGCTTCTCTAACTTGCTGTATAAGCTTCCAATTTTTAGGAATAATCTGAGCTCCAAAACAACACAAGTAAATAAAAAACAAATCATAATCAGTAGCTTTGACCCTGCTACTTTATAGTGACGTGTTTTGGATACATTTTCTTACCCTAAATAATGGGTCCCTGACATCAAAGGTCATTCCCTTTAAACACAGCTCTACTGCATTCTGGAAGGGACTATCCTTTTGAGTCAAGAAGTTTAAATCAACACCAAAAGCCACCTGCGAATGCAAATATTACAACTGAGTACTGATCAACAGCTGATTTGACACATTAGACTTTCCCTTGGATCAATAAGCAGGATGGTGAAACCTTGCAAATGACATCAAGTGTAACACAGTTGACCAGGTCGTGCATGACGGCAGGGGTTTTGTTGTTGGCAATTTCCTCCAGCTTGTCCATCAGGCGTTCTGACATCTCGTCAAAAGTGCTTATCAAGCTTCGTAAGTATCTGATAAATAAGCCAGAAACAGTTATATCATCAGTCATATCACTGTGGCAAGCAGGATCAGGCCAAAAATCTGGGGACCAGCATGAGCCCAATGGATCTTAAAGCTCCTTATTAGTCTGTTTGAAAAGGGAGAAATACATAGGCCACACGCATACACAGTGCTACAGCACAGTCAGTCTAAACCAGGGGTGTCCAGACTCGGTACTGAAGAGCCGGTGTCCTGAAGAGTTTAGCTCCAACCCTAATCAAACCCACCTGGACCAGCTAATCAAGCTCTTCCTAGATATGCTAGAAACTTCCTGCCAGGTGTGTTGATGCAAGTTGGAGCTAAACTCAGCAGGACACCGGCCCTCCAGAACTGAGTTCCCTACTGAAAAAAAACAGCTTAAACCAGCCTTGGCTGGTTTTAGCTGGTCAACCAAGCTGGTTTTAGAGGGGTTTTGGCCATTTCCAGGCTGGTTTTAGTTAATCAGGCTGGGAGATGACCAGCTAAAACCAGCTTGACCAGCCTAGCCAGGCTGGGAGCCCAGCCAAACCCAGCTTAAACCAGGCTGGAAAAGTCTGGAGACCAGCCTAGAAATGGCCAAAACCCCTCTAAAACCAGGCTGGTCAACCAGCTAACCAACCTAGGCTGGTTTAAGCTGGATTTTTCAGCAGGGTTTGGACACCCCTGGTCTAAACTGTCTAAACACACGTTGTATATTTTTATTTGGGAAAGTATTTTATGGAATCTTTAAATTGGAGGATGAGATGTAAGACTAGTGTGTCATGCAGGTGTCTTACATTAGAATTTTTGCCACCATGTATCTCAGCCTCATCCTGCTTACCATAATCACATTTCAGCATTTTTTCCTGTATTTGACTCACGAGCTGCTGAAGGCTGGATCCATGATGCGACGCTGCCTGTACCAGATGTCATGGTCCACAGCTGTAATTAGCCCATATCCCAAGAACCTAAAAAGAAAGATTTATATGACTTATACAAGGGAAATATTCGCTGTCAAAGAAAATTCCATCTAACATGGAAAAGGTCTACATTAAAATGAAAATTTACCAGCTGAATTTCAAACAGAGGTCATGGCATTTATTTATGCACAATTTATTCTAGCAAGAATAACTCTACCCTTTTTAAAACAATATAAACTTCACATCTAACAAGTAAAAATTAAAACAAAATTGTAAAAAATACATAATCTAGTCTACTCCGGCTTCCTGCAAACTTGCATTTTTTAACATTATTCAAGCAAAAGTCATACCATGACGTTTTGTTTGTTTACTCCACTGACTTTCTGCATGTGATACAAATTAATTTTACTTTTTAACGTAGTGAAGTTTGCAATAGCTCATGTTTCTCTGCATATGCATGCATATATTCAATGTGCATGAAAATAAGTCATTGGTAAGACAAATGTAATACTGTAATCCTGTGCTCTTTTAGATTGTCAGTGTATACTGTGTTCATTTAGCAACACTAATTATAAACAATGCCTTAAAACTATAGGTGGGCATAGATAAAAAAAAATTTTAATCTAGATTGATCTAGGTATTAATCTAGATTAAAATGGCTCATTTGAATTCTGCCGAAGGCTTTCAGAATATGTGTGCTACCCAAATAATAAGTCTTTGAGAACGGGTTTCTCAAGCCAGGTGGCGCATTAGACCAGGGGCTCATCTCCTGTTTCCAAAATGCATCACAAACTGCTTGAGAAACTGTTCTACTCTGATAATTGGTGATGAAAATAGATGATGTTTAATAAGATGTACTTGTGTTTACTGTTTATTCAGGTTTAACATGAATGTTGAACTGTAGGCCTACATAAGCTGCAAACAACGATTTTTGATCACCTTAATCCGACTAAAGTCATAACTGAACTAAACTGAAATGGAATTAGAGACATGTGGATTATGCAGACATTAGTGGCGTTATTGAAGTAAACGCCGCAATCAAACTATTACCGTTATGAAGGACTTTTCGCCATATTTTCCGACAAGATCCACACACAGTAAAGGACCGCACACACACATTGCAAAATGCGGAAGTTTTTTTCTTTCCATTTGGCGTGCGTTATTAAATTCCATAACACTCTCACCAGTCCTTACACCTTATTTGCGTCTAATACCTCAGTTTGTCACGGGGGAATGAATAACAGAAAGAATGAAGAATCCTTAAGGTATAATGCTGAAGACTTTAGTCCTCTTTGCGCAATGTGGCGCAAGGCGCGGCGCAATAGTCTTTTACTACTTTAAGCTTGGCGCAAGGGTCATTTTGAGGCATTGTGCCACGCTGTTTAAATAGCAAATGCATTTGCGCTCAAATGTGCGCCCATAGATATATAGGATAGATATATATATAGATATAGGATATAAATATAAATTATTAAAATACTACAAAACTAGTTTTAATTTCTAGCCTACATGAATTTAAAAACCACTGCCTTCATATTTTCTTCATCTCGGGAGGCTTTTTCAGTCCATTCAATTTGCTTTCGTATAATGTTATTATTATTAGCAGAATTATTTATTATCTCCATATTTATATTTGTTTTATTAAAAACAAGCCTAGATTTGTCCACCTGTCAGGTTTTAGACCATATGCGGCATAGCAGGTGTATTTGGAAATAACTCAGTATTTTGACCACACTTTGTTATTATTAATCATTTATTCGTTTGCTGGAAATTAGAACTGAATTTAGAAATAGTTTTGAAACAAATCTTTGCGCTTAACAAACGAAATGTATTATTTATAGACTAATTGATGTCTGTGCGTAAAGGTTTCCCTATCCACGAGAGCAAAAGCGAAAGTGAACTTACTTTACATCACGTTAATAGCAATGCACTTATGGCGCGACGCAGCTGGCTCTTAAAGGTAATGGAAGATGAGACTCTGATTGGTTTATTCTCAAAACACACCTATAACTCATTAAGAAAATAAACTCAACCCTTTTAGACCATGCGCCATGGCGCAGAGCGGATTTAAAAAAAAAATGTGCATGGACCGTCAAAATAGAGCCCACAGTCTGCATATGCTTCATTATGAGCCATCTTCATTGTTGATTTGATCAACTTAAAGGGATGTATAAGGTTTTAAAGCTATCAGACATAATCTAAATGCCATATAGTTAAGATTTAACCGGCCTCTGGCGCCTAGACTGCAGCTCTGCTCAAGACATTTGGCCAGAGGAGAAATGGTCGTGCCCTACAGAGTCTGGTTTCTCTCAAGGTTTTTTTAATTCTTTACTTTCGCCAGTTGGTAAAGTTTTTTTTCTTCCCGCTGTCCACACTGGCTTGCATGGTTCGGGATCTGTAGAACTGCATATTGATGGATTTGCTCTTCAGTGTTTGGACTCTCATTATTAACCACAATGAACTAAGCTAAACTGAACTGAACTTAAACACTGAAAACTGAACTGACACTGTTTCAATTTACTATAATCTTCTATGTGAAGCTGCTTTGACACAATTTACATTGTAAAAGCGCTATAGAAATAAAGGTGAGTTTAATGTAATGGAGCCTCTAGCATGATGAAGGAGGTAGTAGTGGTAGTAATACACCCTAAATCGATGTAGAGATGTGATCATTTAAGAACAAATTAAAGTTTACCTTTTCCCAAACAAGTTAAAGACGCGTCGGTAGACAAATGGATCTTTGGTATACTTAGGTGACATCATGATCGTCTACAAAAACAAAACAAAAATATTATTATTATTATTTATTACAGCGTCCTCACATGAAAATGCTTTTGAAAAATGTTTTTGAACCATAGTATAGTAAAATGTATTTTACTCTATCCATATTATAATAATTCTAACACTTTGTTAATGCATGTTAAAGCGGTCACACTTTACAATTAGGTTTATTAGTTAATGTTAATTAATGCATTTACTAACAATGAACAACACATCTACTACAGTATTTATTTATGTTAGTAAACGTTAGTTAATGAAAATTCTGTTGTTCATTGTTAGTTCGTGTTAACTCATGGTGCATTAACTAATGTTAACAAGCACAGACTTGGATGTTAATAATGCATTAGTAAATGTTCAATTATGATTTATAAATGCTGTACAAGTGTTGTTCATGATTAGCTCATGTTAGTAAATGCATTAACTAATGAACCTTATTGTAAAGTGTTACTGTTAAAGCATACTGAGGTATCAACCAGTGAATTGGTAAACTGCAATACACACTATAGTGTACTTTAGTTTTTGTGGTGTTTTGTTGAGCGGTGAAGCCTGTTGCTTTGGAAAACCTGTGTACTGGGTAATTTATTTTGTATTACTATATCAGCTGTATTATCATAGCAACTTCAGAATCACCACAACAGATGAATTCAAGTAATTTACTGTAGTATGTTTTCATATGGATTCTGACTAGGTATAAAACAACACACATAAAAGATTAAGTATTTACCTTCGTAGCCTCTGGGCAGTAAACCACTATTGTGACATAATGCAAAGTGTTAATCCTGTAAACAGGACCATACTTTTCTGCCCTTAAAAAGAATTATACAACAGAATTATTAAACAATTTAAGTCAAAGATAGACTGGGAATATGAAGTATACAGGTGTAACTTCAAATCAACAAGGCAACAAGTAAAATTAAAATAATAAAACATATATACATATACATATATATATACATATATATAT